GTTTATCCAATAAGGCCGTGCAGAGAGCAGTAATGATGTGATAAGGGCAGTAACCAATAGTCACCAATTGGCTTGCTGTTTGGTGTAGCTTAGGTACCAGTCTAATACAAACACATCCTATTCTACTGAATACAACATAAAACCTTAGGATGGCCTGGTGCTTACAATCTGCCATGTTGGTTTATCCAATAAGGCAGTGCAGAGAGCAGTAATAATGTGCAAAGGGCAGTAACCCAAAGCAACCAAATGGTTTGCTGTTTGGTGCACGTGAGGTACCCGTCTAATACAAACACATCCTAGTCTACTGAATATAACATAAAACCTTAGGATGATTAGCTGCTCACAATCTATCATGCTGGTTTATCTAATAAGCCAGTGCAGAGAGCAGTAATGATGTGCAAAGGGCAGTAACCCAAAGTCACCAATTGGCTTGCTGTTTGGTGTAGGTTAGGTACCAGTTTAATACAAACAAACCCTATTCTGCTAAATATCATTAAACCTTAGGATGGCCTGTTGCTCACAATCTGCCATGCTGGTGTATCTAATAAGGCGGTGCAGAGTCAGAGAGCAGAAAATGATGTGCAAAGGGCAGTGACCTATAGCAACCCATTGGTACTGTTAGGTCCCAGCCATTGGATTCAGTAGAATAAAATGCTTTGTATTAGACTAAAACCGTAGAATGATCTGCTGCTAACAATCTGCCATGTTGGCCTATCAAATAAGGCATTGCCGAAGGCATGTGTCCTGAAGTGGGAGGGGGTGGGGCGCTCGCTCGTCCCCCCCTTTCCGGCCCTGCTAGGCCTATGCTCAGATCAAGGGTCTGGTATAAAATTTTTGGGGGGACCCCATGTTTTTACCCCCCATTTTTGGGGGTGGTGTTCCTCCTTAAAATTCCTACCAGACCCTAAGGGCCTAGTATGACTTTAAGTGGGAACCCCACACACTTTTTTTCTTTTCTTTTTACATGGAGTCCCTCCTCACTATTCCTACCAGACCTTATGGGCCTGGTATGACTTTGAGTGGGAACCCCACACTTTTTTTTTTTTTAAAAATATTTCTACCAGACCTACAGTGTCTGGTATTGTTTGGGAGGGGGATCTGTAAAAAAAAAAAAAAGTCATTTTTTAAAAAAATTATAGTTTTGCTGCAGCAGGTTCTATACATCCTACAGATCCACCACTTCACAGACAGGTTAAGGGGACCCCCCAGGCACGATATTTGAAGGAATTTTTCATTTTTATTCTTACCCTTTTTCATTGATTCATGTCCCCCAGAGCTGTACCCGGACCCCCATACACATTTTATGGACAATAACTTGCACAAAAGCCCTCTTAAAGGGGACAATCATTTTCGAAAGTTCGACCCCCATTGACTTGCATTAGGTTCGAGTTTGTGATCAAACTTTTCGGCTGCTCATGTGTTCGAATACGAAACAAACACTGGGTGTTCGGCCCATCACTATTGCAGAAAACAGTGAAGATGTGCACAGGGTGGTAACCCATAGAAACCATTTGGCTTGCAGTTGTGTGCAGTCATTGTATTTAGTAGAACAGAATGCACTTGTATTGGACTAAAACCTTATGCTGATCTGCTGCTCACAATCGGCCATTTTGGTTTATCTAATAAGACTGTGCAGAGAACAGTAATGATGGGCAAAGGACAATAACCTATAGTAACCCAATGGGTTGTAGTTGGGTGCAGTTATACCAGGCATTGTATGCAGTAGAATAAGCTGCATTTGCATTCAGCTAAAACGTTAGGATGATCTGTTGCTTACAATCTCTAATGCATGCTTATATAATAAGACAGTGCTGAGAACAGCGATGATGGGCAAAGGTGTTAACACATAGCAACCAACTAGATTGCAGTTGGGTGCAATTAGGTACCAGTCATTGAGGTGAATTTAACAAAACTGGAGCGTACATAATCTGGAGGAGCTCCCAATAATCAGCTTCTCTCTTTCAATGTTTAACTGCACAAACTGAAAAGAGAAGCTGATTAATTGCCATAGGCAACTGCTCCAGAGATTCTGCTCCAGTTTGGATAGATCCCCCATTGCATTCAGTAACATGGATTGCATTTGTATTCAGCTAAAATGTTAGGATCCGCCATAATGGCTTATCCAATAGGGCAGTGCAAACAAAAGTGAAGATGGGCAAAGGGTAGTAATCCATAGCAGCCAACTGGATTGCAGTTGGGTGTAGTTAGGTAGGAGTCATTGACTTCAGTAACATAGACTTCATTTGTATTGAGCTGAAATGTTGGGATGATCTGTTGCTCATGATCTGCCATGCCGACTTATCAGACAGTGCAGAGGACAGTGATGATAGGCAAAGTGCAGTAACCCATATCAATCAATTGGAATGCAGTTGGGTGTAGTTAAATAGCAGCCATTGACTTCAATAACATAGACTGCATTTGTATTGCGCTAAAACGTTGGGATGATCTGTTGCTCATGATCTGCCATGCCGACTTATCTAATAAGACAGCGCAGAGGACATGATAGGCAAAGTGCAGTAACCCATAGCAATCAATTGGAATGCAGTTGGGTGTAGTTTAATAGCAGTCATTGACTTCAATAACATAGACTGTATTTGTATTGCGCTAAAACGTTGGGATGATCTGTTGCTCATGATCTGCCATGCCGACTTATCTAATAAGACAGCGCAGAGGACATGATAGGCAAAGTGCAGTAACCCATAGCAATCATTTGGAATGCAGATGGGTGTAGTTGGGTATAGCAGTCATTGACTTCAATAACATAGACTGCATTTGTATTGAGCTGAAAGGTTCGCATGATCTGTTGCTCACAATCTGCCATGCCGACTTATGTAATAAGACAGTGCAGAGGACAGTGATGATAGGCAAAGTGCTGTAACCCATCGCATTCAATTGTAATGCAGATGGGTGTAGTTAGGTAGCAGTCATTGACTTCAATAACATAGACTGCATTTGTATGGAGCTGAAACGTTGGGATGATCTGTTGCTCACGATCTGCCATGCCGGCTTATCTGATAAAGCAGTGCAGAGTGAAGATAGGCAAAGGACAGTAATCCATAGCAGTCAGTTTAGTGCAGTTAGGTGACTGTTGGGTGGTCGCCGAAGCCTACTGATTTCCGCACACTTCTTTGCCAACCAATTATGACAGCTAGCTTTGCAAATTGCAGCAGGTTGATCATGTCTTTAATGAACAAATGAAAAGCCTGGGCTATGCTTACGCTTGGCCAGCTTTCTATGTCATAGCTGAGGAATGGGGAATCTCTATCTCTGCAGGCTTATCACATCACAGCCATGGAGCTCCGGCTAACGAAGCGCAGCCACCAGGCAGACTGCTAACATGATTTTAACCACCCATGGCACGTTCTTTTGCGTTTGTTTGCTATTTCCTATATATTAAAGGCTGTAAAACACAATTCATCCTGGCAGTCTCTTTGTCGTGAATCAGCAACAGCAGCGGTTGGAAGGAGGATGCAAAGGAGGGAGGGAGGGGTGCAGGGTGATGGGGGGC